GCTGGGTGTCGTAAACAGTGGCGTTCGTGCATCTCAATTTCTTCCCAACCTTAGTCCACTTAACTTCTCCATTTTCCTTTCGAATCCACTTTCAACTTTCCTTTCTTCTTCTATTCTTCATCCCAATGGGCAGCCAAAAGACAGTCAAAACCGGCGCACGAAAGTGCATGGTTAATGGTTGTTCAAACTGAACGGAAACATTAGATATAAACATATACATAATTGTAAATTCCATTTCGCCCGTTCGCCGAGCTTGGCAATTTGTTTGCAAACGTTTCATCACTAGCCGAGGTGAAATCATCAGTGCTTGTAAATTGTAAATGCCTGAAAACAAATTTACGAAAACAACCTTGTTCGCTATATTGTTTGTCTTTTGATAATCTTATGAGAATCGTCCATGGATTAATTTTTTTTTGTTTTCATCCAGTTAACCCTTCCGATTCAAAAAGCTGTAGGCTCGAGTTTTTCCCTCGTTACAGTTTACAAGTGATGCATATTCACACGTGTCTTATTTGTATTCGATACCTATACTGTTTGGTCATCGCAATTAAACAGATATAGAAGTAATTGATGGGAGGATACGACTACACTCAGTACCACTGAAGTTTGATCTGGCAGTCCGAAATCACAAACCGGAACAGACGATGTCGTGAACCAATTACTGCATCCATGCACCCATCGGAGTTGACCAAAGCAATACATATTGCAAATAGATGTGAGACGGATCCCAAGGGGAAGTAATGAATGTAGATGCTTCAGACCGACAGTGTAACATGCTCGCAAGTCGTCACCATCTTTGGTCTGCCTGTTCCTCGTGTATGCTTTCGCATGGTTGCAGGCATTGGTTGCCTGGAGCATGTCGCTGGTACATTCTTCTTCTTTGTAGCTTAGATTCCGCCAGGATCTCCGATATCCTGACACCGCTTCTTCAGTTAGGTCTTTTATCTTTTTTTAAGTCACTGCTACTTCCGGTGAAGTAACTTCACTTTAAAAGGTGCGTCAGTTCAGTGCTACACCTTCGCTTGCTAAGTATTTTCGCTTTCAGATACTCTCGAGCGTAGTCAGGCTAAACTTCCGGTGCCCGCAGGGAACAATATACTTTCCCTTGACCAACCGGTTGTTCCTCCTGATCCATACCGGGCTATCCAATCGCTTTCGCAGGTCGTGATATCTCTAAATGAACATGTGAAAGTGATACAGGTCCAGATTACAGAAAGCAGTGCACCTGGACGGATGAATTGGAAAAAAACCGGTGTCCATGTTGGTTTGTGAACACTTTGTGGTATACGTCACTCGATTTGGGAGGTGAGTCTAAACTAAGTCATCTGTCTATCTCATCCCTTTCATTCAATATCACTTGCGTGCACACTGAGACCGTAAATTATGGTGGCACACTATAGTGACCGTACCGTACTTCTCGTATATCTGATTTGAACAGTTTGCGTGTGGGCATACACACAAAACTGAAGTTCGATTCGTGCTATTTCTAATTCCCAGAATTGTGATTACGTGGTACAGGACGTAAGCCAATTGCACATTCGTTCCGCGGAAGAAACGAGTGAGCAAAACAAATATAGTAACCAGCAGTGTGCAGCAGTATGTCCTTCGTTGTACACCGCGGTGCAGATTTGATTTTCATCATGAGTCTTGTTGATATTGCTTACAATCATGTACAGACAGACAGACAGACAGACAGAAACGTTTTTCGGAATAGAGAAACAAAAATAGAAACCAGCAGTTGAGCATAAAGATAAAGAAACAATCAGTTAAAGGATAAAGGAGCAAATAAAGAATCCGGAGCGAGAGAGGGAAGAAATAGACAAAACAGTTTTGATATGCCTTTTTACAATCGCGGTTTTATACGATCGCGAGATCCAAGTGTAACTGCCAGGAAATTATTTGATCAGGAAGATATTTCACGGTAAAGCTGACTGATTTGCGATAGGCTCATTGTGGCAAATTGGTAGACTCCTATCTGTGTGCGTGTGTTGTGCTACTGCTTTATGCGCAACCAATAGGGATCAAGAGCGAGCGAAAGAAGAACTGTAGAAAAAGTATCAAAAACGGGATGAGGAGAAAAATCCCATTGGAAAACTCAATACTTGTGGTAACACAGCCATAGAAACTTAAGATCGGAAGGTAGGTTTCATGAACCAGTGCGTACAAGTAACGATGTCATGTGGAGCGGGGTTGTGGGCAGGAGAGGGAAGTCAAACTGTTTCTGGAGGAGAGGAGGAAGTGGAAGAGGGGATGAAGACGGTTCAATCCATCAATCTCCGGTATGTTGAGTACCACTCGGATTACGTTTCCGACTTCGATAGCGTTCGAGCGCAAGCTGTGCTGGGGTTTGTATTGGTCGGGGAAGATGATATGTGGTAGCCGTACTCGATGTAGCCGTGGTCGTGGTTGTGCTTGTTCTGGTCGTACTATCTGTGATCGAGGTGGAATATTCAGCGGCTGGTGATTCAGCACGCGAGGTCAAGGCATCAAATGCACGTATTTCTGACCGGCCGGGACTATCAGAACTGATTGTTTCCATAACTGTGGGAATAAGCGGTGTACTTGTGCCCAAACGATACCGATAAGCACGCGAGGTCAACGGGTGCTGAGGTCCAAGTGGTTTACCTACTTGTGTAACAATGGAGTCCGAAATTGATGCACCCGCCGGTTGGGGACGTCCGGTGTGGAAAATTGTTTCTAATTCAGACAGGGCTGGTGATGCAATCCGTTCAGTACCACGAACCCCTGATAGGCGCATTTGACTTGCTCGAGAACCCAGACCAGAAGTCCAACCATCAGAAGACAGATCAAAGCGTGGGGTGCCCGAGCGCGAGGCTGCTTGTGTGTGACGCATCAAGGAACGTGTTGGTAACACTGTGGTGGATGACGATAATAGCATAGGTCCCAATGGACCAGCAATTGAATCCAGTGGTTGGGATGCACCATACGCACTGAACCCAAACCCACTCTGGCGACGCGAACTGGTAGCAACTGTCTGACTCAAATCTGTACCAGAGTAACTATCTACATAACGAACAGTCGGACGATGCGCTCGGGACAACACGGGAGAAATGCTGCGACGTAATAACAAAGGAAACGCAGGAGTATCCGGAAAGGCCATAGCTAATGGAATCTCAGCTTGAGACGATCCACCAATCGACAAACCATGGCTTAACATAGTTTGAGTTGGGTATGGACTATCGGAACGCAGTCGTTGAGTAGGTAATCGCTCGAAGCTTTGGTGAGTATTTACTTGATCTAGCATTGTTGCTGCTGTCGTCGTCGTTGTTGTTGGGACTTCACTTCGTGTGGGCAGCACCAATGCCGAAGCAGACAGGTTTGAATCCCCAAAAGCTGTACCGCGCTTGGTCGTTCGATGCATCCGCCAAGGTCGTCCAAACACCAGTGAGTTTCGTGAAGAAGATCGCGACTTATCTAAGGCGCCGGGCTCATCTCTCGCCGGTCGGATAGATGGAGTCTGGGAACGAAGTTGCTGTTCCACTGTGGGTTCAGGTTCTTCGCCCTCGAGGTCTGCACGTATAACAGGCAGATCCGGACTGGGTTCTGCGTTCGTTCCTACTCCACCAGCTTCAGCTAGAAGAGTGTTGGGTGAGAACCAAAGCCAGTCTAAGGTATCGGGAAAATAGGATTCCAGTGCACGAGTTTCGGATGCATGCAAATTTGGCACTGATTGGGCGGCGGACAACTGATTCAGACGCGGTCGTGTACTGACCGTGGGTGGTGATAAACACGTTGGGATAGTCACGTGGCTAGTGAACGGTGAGCGGGTTCGGGACAGATTAGTATCGTGTAGATGTTCCGCAAGGTGAGTACTGCTTGTCCAAAACACTGGACGTTTGGACGATTTGAGACGCTCGACTGGCGGTTTGAACGGCTTTTGCGAATAACCGATTTGAGACTATGCATGTGAAGGAAAGGGAGTTGCGGTAGTTACGGGAGAGCAAACAATGAATGCCGACAGAGGACAACGAGGGACAACAGGGATATTGAAGAGGACGAGGAAAGAGTACAACAGAATCAGATTGTTGCTGGTTCACAACAAGAAGACAACGGCAGTAACGGAGAGAAAATGAAAGTAGTAAGGTTCAAAACTGGTGATGAAAATACGACAACACTAATAGACAACAACAATGAACAGTGATGCTAGTACATGGTATCTACTCACCTTCAGATTACTCCGCCCGGTTGTTGTTCGTGGAGAACATTCAACCATGTCCAACCCGGTGGAACGTCGAACGACATTATGCAAATCCTCGTGCAGATTGTCTGTGAGTCGAGTTGCTTCAATCGCTTGACTGATAAGCTCCCGTCGAGTAGTCAATGCCTCCTCCACACGTGTGAGTAGAGCTTTGAGCCGGGATTCGATCGCACCAAGAGGCCCCATATCTCCCGTGGCCGTTCTATCCCCTCCACCTATCAATTCAAGGCGCTGCATACGCAGATTAGTCAGTACGGATCCTTTGGCACGTAATTCATTCTGAATAGTTTCCAAATGAGCCGTGTCCATGGCATGAATCAACCGCTCATACGTTCCCGAGGCACGTTCGTCGGAAGTGCGTTGTGAGCTCGAATGATGTCGCCTACGATGCGATCGCTGGCTGATTGCATCTCGTACGTCTGCTTCTTTTGAAGTCAACCACGCATCAAACTCTGCCTCGCAAATATGCTGCTGATCCCAGCGGATTTTCAGCTCGTTCAAATCTCTCACATATTGTTTTAGCTATAAAAACGAATATGAGAATACCAGTTGAAAACGCGCGCGCGCGAATCGCAAATAGTAGTCTCTAGTCAATCATCTAACCACTCGCTCGGTTCACCTAATCATTCAGCATTAAAACGTACGGGAAGCGAAAAAAATGCGTTTTACTACATAGAAATTAATACAAATATAAGTTATTAGGTGTATAAAAGATGGACATTTTGTAATTTAATTGCCTTTTTCATCAACGGTCAAATCGAATTTGTTATACGGTCTGAGGTTCAACATTCTGATGCATATATCCACACACTGAAGCACATCTTCTGAATACAATCGTCATCCCATGACGATTTTCCCGCACGATTATCCCGCTATTCGAAATTCGTATCGGGCAGCATGCTGGTTATTATTAACCTCGTTGTATCAGAACAATGGTGTGGGATGTGCACGACCCGGAAAACATTCTCATTTGAAAGTTGTAACGAAATGAAGGGATTCTGTGGTGATCCGGGCCTACGAAAGGACGCATAACCTGGAGCGACGCGTTACAGTTTTAGGATAACTGTGATCAATCAAACTTCACGGGTGACGTTAGCAAAGCGCGTACGTGTCACTGAGTCTGGACTACAGACCATAGGTAGATTGTATCAGCCAATCAGAGACCGTGCGGCCCAGGCAGAAACAGAACAACGACTGAATTACTAGAATACGATCGACAGAAGCCCGGATGACCAATGACTTTGTTTTGTACATATTATTTAATCCCCCTTATTTCTTTCAATAAACGAACTGCTACTCCTGTAACCTTTTCTTCGCGTCTCGGTTACGGGATACATTGAGTGCAACTGCCAGTGTGGTCCAGTGCTTATGTGATCCAGTCCGTGATTGCTAATCCTTGATTCGTATTCCGTGATCCGTATTGCGTGTTTCGTATTCCGAGTTCATTGCGTATTACTATTGCTACTACTACAATCAATACAGAATCACCCCAAAAACATGGACAAGACCTTTTGTGATCCGAATTTTCCGAGTATCATTTCAAACTGTCCTGTTGATCTCATCAGAGCTGTCAGACCCATGTGGTGTTTAGGCCCTGACCAAATAGTTGAACACAATCGATATAGATGTCATTTAAAGTCTCGCACAGAATAGGCTGAGGTAAGTGACATCGTTAGGGCCAATGCACTCGGTATTACATTGGCGTTATTGGTGAGGGGAGAGTGCAATACTCTCGTCGAGGTGGCAGTTGGAGTTATGAGGGTCTATTTTCGTTTAAATAGAAGACAATTTGATGAAATTTCGTATTCCGTTTTTTTTTAATTTAGTTTCTGTGTACACATTTTCAAACATGGTAATAATCGTACATGAAGCAGAGAAAATAATCCAAATATGAAGGAAGTGTCATTCTTTTGTCTCCACAGTGACATGTTTGCAATTGGGACTCACTCGTTCTGAGGCGCGCTGCAAACTCCCACTCAGTTCGTTAGCCTTTCGATGCAGTTCAGTCCCGGTGAGCATTCGTTGCGTCTCAGTCCATCGACCAAGTGGCATACTGCGATCCGAGGTGTCCTGATCCACGCTAGGCAGTTCACTGAATATTTCTGCCAACAGGGTGGCTGGATCCATCTTTTTCGCCATTTGCATCATCTGGCCGGAAAGGATTGGTTTCGGTGGATTTTGAACTGGTGGTGAGCACCGATGAATGGCGGCAGACAATTCCTGAGACAGTAACTAGATTTGAGATTGAGACAAGAGGATTAGGACGGAACAAGTGAGCATCACTACAACACATTTTATCGTACAAGTTGTGATCGTGATAGGACATAAAACGAAATTTGACTTCCAGGGACACAGAAATATCAAAAGTGAGGGACTTCCAACCTACCTAGGTGAATGGTCAAGCTTAGTGATCATGTTTTGTAGGATATCAAGGACATAAAAACATTATCACTTGGGATAGGTGATCTGATACATCGTCATCAAGGTGAGTAGTTATCGGAAACTGCGTGTTATGTGAACCCTGTCCAAGACTTGACACTAAACCCTAGTGAAATCCAACAAGAGATTTAATAATCTGTACAAGAGTGGTCCTGTGGTGGGTGAATATTTGTTCATAACTTTATTGTCCTCGTACTCCGGTCAGCTTTCTGTATTGCTTGCGTGTACCTTGACAACAACTTGATGCCAGACCGAAACGATATCGGCAGTTTAAACCCAAAGGGACTTTTATGTGGTGAATATTTGGACGGAGGTCTATGAGCTTCTCGTTTATGTGAATCCGATTTATTCTGACTATAAAATGAACAGTTTTTCAGACAGATCGAAGCATTAACGGTGCTATCAACAGTTGTTCTTCTTCTGTTATACACTTTAATGTAGAAAACAGCAGAAAAAGGCTAACCCCTTCAGTTCGAAGGATCTATTGATTATTGATCATGAGAAGGAACAAGATGAACTTGGGGACGATGTCCCTGAGGCTCCAGAAAAAGAATACGTCTGGTGTTGCGTCAGACGATATCTAAGCTAATNAATCAACGCATAGCTCGACTCGAACGTATCAACTGTTAAAATTAAGCTAAAGACTATTGAAACAGGTCTCGTAGATCTTGTACAACGATTAAGTAAGTGCTATGTACAGACACAGACATACATAAAAAAGTGATCGAAAATCAACTGACCATGATTCGTGCATTGGCAGCTTCGGCCTCGGCAGTCTGGGTGGCAATTTCTCGTGGATGCGACAGACCAGGCACCGGTTTCTGTTGGACCGAGCTGTGCAAAGACTCGCATCCAGACTCATCCGAGCTCGTGTAACTCAGACGTTTTGAACGCCTGGATCGTGTGCGCGAGTGTTTTGTACTCCACACGCGTTGCGGACGATTGCGCCACCAGGCGGTCAATTCCTCGCGCAAATGATCAGACACACGACCGAGCACCGCAACAAAATGAGCCCAACGTTCCTGTTGATCTAGCAACCGCATCTGTTGTTAATGTTTTGTGTAAGAGAGAGAGAGAGGGGGGGGTAGAGGGAAAAATAATTGTGAACGAGGGACTTTGTACCGTGAGGTGCAACAAAATGATCAAGACCCCGTGAGAAGTGTGTAACAATCAGCAAATACGTACCTTAATTTGTTCGGACGTCTCGTTCACACTATCACAATTCGCCTCAAGCTGCACAACCTCACCAAGCAACGGGTTCGAATGAGTTAACTGGGCGGGCTGGTTGGTCGTGCTGTTCGAACCGGTCTGTGCATCCCGAACAAAATTGGCCACCTGTTCGGCCGTATTGGTTCCGATCACATCTCGTCCCATCTGAGCTGCTTGGTCGAATTCCGCGCTCGAACGTAGTTCCGTGTAACAGGCCTGTGCCATTTCTTTTAGTTCGGTCACTGTGATCGCGCGAAATGTCTCAAACTGTTGACGCAAAGCCGCATGGGCACGGCCTAGGCGAATCACTCCCTGTGGTCCATCCGGTTCGGTAATGTGAATTGCCATCAGTTTGAGCGACAGGGAAAGGATCCAGCCCTCGGCCTCGCTAAGCTTGGTGTGGAAGTTGTATAACTTGTGCCACACATGCTCATTCTTTCCGATTCGGATCTATAAAGGCAAAACGTTGTATGCAATCAGTATGGTGGAATAGCAAAATATATTTGAAAAAACAGTTTAATCGCTTAGTATCTATCTCACACGAGCAGTGGGTGGGAAAAGTTGATTTGAAGTTATGGTTGTCTCTGTTTAATTTAAAAAGGTATAAGCAATTATCTTCTAGTTTTTTTATTATAATTAACTTGATTCACAGTTTGTGGAAGAAATTCTTCGCGATCGGATACCGTGTGCATTACTCGACACTGCTGAGAAAACAGAATCCCAGAGCATTCAGGATGAAACGCCTCTGGTACACCTTTAAAATACCATCCTAGGAATGAAAAATTC